AATTCTTCGGCGCTCCGCCTTCTTTATGGTCCAGCTCTCACAGCCACACATTACTACTGGAGTGCAATGTGTGGACCAGGTTATATAGTTGATGGGGTCTTGCAAGCTTCTTCCCCTAAAATTTTGCTTGAGAGTCAATAGACTGGACAAAATGAATCAATAACATCTCTTAATACTGCTTTACAGAAGTTATAAAACATGAAGAGTATAGGGCTGACATTTGAGGATGTACGTTGGCAGTCTTCACTGTTAACGATTCATTTTTAGCTTTTGAAATGTTTTGTACTTCCAAAGTCATGACGTAGGAAGCTCAACATTAAGAACCAGGATGGAGAAAATAGTTTTCTGGTACAGATGAATGTAACATCTGAAGGAATAATTAAGTATACTGGGGGGAAAAAACATTAAAAGGGTGTGATAGAGTATTTCAGATCCCAAAGAGCAATATAATCCAGCCTTACTGGTCTTTTTCAAAATACATGCTTTTTAATATCTTTCTCAGAAATAATTCTTCATCCATGTTCTCCAGCAGAGAAGAAGTTATCTAATCAACACATTCCAAATCCTTCAACGTTCCTCATATTACAAGAGAACTTCTTTTGATTTTTTGGCCAAGTAGATGAACCCTATATAAAGATGGGGCTTAATGAAGCTGTTGATCTCTAGGGCGAACCATTTTGAAACGTGGTGTTAGCAGCCAACCTTTGTTTTTTTTTTTAAGACCCAAGTGTTTTCCTTCCCACAATTTTGTTTTGCAAGCTCTGTGTATGTTTTGATACTGTGCAGGGCCTTATAAGTCTGGATATTTAAAGTTGACGGGTGCAGTTCAACATTCCTTCTGGCTCGCGTCAAGTGCTTCCAGCTGCATTGTGTCTCATGTCCTGAGATCAGCCTGACAAAAGCTTGGGAGAACATCAACAGCAGTCTCTTAGCTGCATTCAGGACAGGCATACTTGAGGACACTCATGTTCTACCCCAGTCAAGGCCCAAATGGAGGGCTGTTTTTGCCTCCTTCCAGGTTCTGAGGATGGTATGGCTCTTGTTAAGCAGCTGTGATCCTAAACTATCCATAACTGAAACATCCTGATTCTCTCAGCTACACCTGCACAAAGCCTCAAACTACAGAGTAATAAACCATTTTTTAATCTGAGTGTTATGTGAATTGGGTTAAGGCAAGCCACATTTTAGTTAACTGTTCACAGTTCAGACACACACTGTGGCTAGTGTGTCAGGTGAACATAGCCATCATGTTTCAGTCAAAGTTCCCACCCTATCAAGAGCTTGTCAATAAAGCGAGATTTCTGCTATTTTTATTTGCCTCTACCATATTCTGCTCCAACAATCTTTTTGACCCCACATTTGTGCATGTGTGTGCATATGTGTATGTTTCATTTGGTCCAGAAGACAGCTCTCCCAAGTCTACAGGAGAAGTTAGCTGAACTGGCAAGTTGTTTGGACGTTTAAAAGATGTGCCTAATTTCTCAATGCAGCAAAACTGATTAATTGATTGCATTCCTAAAAGCAAAGATTTCATCAGATTGTCCGGCAGGCCAAAAGATTGTCATCTCCTCTGAGTAAAGCCATGTGAACAATGCATGGTCCGAGTTCTGCTACTTATATTTCAAGGGCTAGGTAGAAACTAAGCTAATTCTAGGACCAACAGCCATCTCAGGCTGTGGAAGAGAGAATATTTCTATGAGAGTTATGCTCAGATTTGTCATAAATTGGAATTAGGATACCAGATAATGCTACCTGTACTGAGTAACAGTCATTTTTAATTGTGCAGCAATTAAATCAACATGAAGTATGACCAAAACCTAAACTGGTACTTGTGGTGCAGTTACAGGACTCTCGGAAGCATTCCAAAAAGTGACAACATTTGCAAAACCTTGCAAAAAATCTAAACAAAACAAGCAGTTTTCAAACAACTTTAACATATAATCTTAATAAAGAAACAGTTGCTGGGATAGAAAATTAGTCTGTTTGTTAAGCATCTGATTTTGTAGCATGTTTAGGACAAATTTTGTGCTAGTCACGCAGTTCCATTGTTTTTCAAAAATAATCTGTTCCTTCTGAGGAAATAAATATAACTAAATTATGAATTATGAACTGCAAAAAAGAATAAAATTAGCTCTGTATGGTTAAAAAAAGAAGTGCTTGTGTTTAAACTCAAGATACTGTTGGTTGAGCTTAGCTGGGACTAGCCTAACAGAAGCAAAATAGCCAAAGTTGTCATGAAGAGTACCTATGGCCAAACATCCTTATTGCAAAGAACCTGATGAGAGGGCTTCCCATCTGATGATGGAACACTGATGATGGATGTGGCAGCAAGAAATGTCTCTTTGTGCTGAATTGTTCATTCTTAAACTGGGAATGTGGCACCAGAAAACAACTTTCTACAGAAGCAAAGGCATTGCCTAGGTTCTGCAGCAAATGCTGAGTCTGTGCTATGCTTTCTTAGCTAAAATTTCAGAAGACCTCTGTCCATAATTGGCTTAACAGTATAACATAAGAGTGATGGTGAGAGTTCTGAAGCAGTTGGAGGATTAAGAAATGCGGAACCTTTAGTACTACGTGATTTGAATGAGGGTTGAGGAATCTCAGTGACGAGGATCATAGAAATGCTGCAAATTGAAACATACAGATAATTAAGGCCAGTTATCAGCCAGGCTGTAGCTCTGCAGTAGCTCCTCTACTTTGTATGTACTGTATATAGATCAGTCTGTGAGATCTCCATAGAGCCCCCAAAAAATCCTGCTTGAAATTCTGAAAGACAGAGGCTAAATCATATTTACAATAATGGACAACACGGTGATTCCAGAGAATGCAGCTGCCAGCGTTCTAGGTTTATAAATAACTTCAGTCTTTGAGGAGGCCAAAACTTGGGAAGTAATTTCAGAAACATAAAAACTACTAAAGATCTAAACTCTGAAACTGGATCTTGGTTTTTGAAAGCCAGCTGGATTCTGCCTTGGAGATATGATTCCTGTTTCTATAGGACATATTTGTGTTCTGGGTTGAGGACTCTTTATCCAAAATCATCTTCTGTCATTCTGGAAATGGCCTCCCACAATCAGCAGTCAGAGGGCCTCTGCTGTGCTGCGAACCTAAAATGATAACTCAGTGGTAACAAGGTATTGATTACTTCCATGAGTGAGACCTGAGACCCCAATAGCAGATTATGTTAAATAAGGGAGGTTGGTTTTTAAAATCCTTATCTAGGTACAGGAGAAAATCTTCCTTTTATCAAGACTGCAGTTTGATTCTTTCTCCAGTTGTGATCTTGATTAAATAGCCACTCATGTTGCAAGTAAAAAAGTTTCTGTTGGTACCAGTAGAAGCTTTTATATCTCTTAAAGCTACCTGTGAGAGTAGGGAGACCATTTTTGTTAGTGGGGGTAGGCTGAGATAAAATGAACTTCTCTGCATGCTGTGGTCTTGATGAAAATGAGTCATCTTGGTGTGTAATTCTTTAAAAAATACTTATTACGTATCTAACATTGTGTAGTTTGACCCTGAGTCAGATGGTATCCAATTTCATGTGACTCAGACAAGAACATATGTATCCAAATGAATGGAGAATACCTTTCCCCGAATTCTAGTCCTGTTCCTGGATTCATCAGATCATCAGGTGACCACGCCTGAAGGACCTCAAAGTCTCAGAAATGCCATATTGCACCTGTGATGTCCAATGATCTCTAACTCTGCTTGATGGTGCTGCCTCTCTCCTAGGTACGGACACTTTTTGTCAGCGGTCTTCCTGTGGACATCAAGCCCCGAGAGCTTTACCTCCTTTTCCGGCCATTCAAGGTGAGCAGGAATGAAAAAGCAAATGCTTGGGGTCTAATTGGGAATGTCCTCTTGTTCAGTGGTAGAGCATCTTCTCAGCATGCTGAAGGTCCCAAGTTGAATCCTACATATCACTAGGAAGGCTGGAAAAGAATCCCATCAGGAAATCTGTTAGATTAAGATTGTCCCAGGTTTCTACAAAACTCGGATTTCCTGCCTTGAGTCTTATCCATGCCATTGGACACAGCCCTGTTGCCTCTGCTTACTAAAGCCCCACATATGCATAAACCTTATGTAGGGAAAGGGAAAGGCCCCCAACCTACCCCTGGTTCCATAACCTGCTAGAATCCAGGGATAAGGAACCTGTAGCCTTCCTGAATTTGCAAAACTACAACTCCCATCAATCCCAGAGAGCATAACAGTGGTAACATTGGGAGTTTTAGTTAGTAATGTCTGGAGTTGCTTGCTTTCCATCTCTGGCATAACTGATGCAGAACAAAATCCACCCACTGGTCTGATTCAGTATAAAGCAGCAATTACCTGTGGTTCTTCATTCATTAGTGTATCGATTAAGCAATGTTTTGTCCTTTTATAGGAAGGCACTTTGTCTGAAAATTGTATTACAGTAGGAGAGAATATCTGTAGCTCATGGTTGAACTGTGGAATCCTTGGTGCTCTCTGAGCTTGGTTGTTGGCTTGCAGACGTTTCATTACTCAACTAAGTTACATCATTAGTGGTGATGTTACCATCATCAGCACTAATGATGTTACCTAGTTGGGTAATGAAATGTCTGGAAGCCAACAGCCAAGCTCAAGGAGCACCAAGGATCCCACAGTTGTATTACAACTAGCAAAACACAATAGTTGACAGTGTAGAGTAAGGGGGGGGGGGAATATTGTCAGAATAGTAACTGCATCTTGGTTTAATTTGTTCCACGAGACAAGAATCTTGTGCTGCTCAGGGGCACAGAACCACCTTGCTATTCTTTATTTTCCTTTTTAAGGCAACTGATAGCTAATTTACTGACTCCTCTCTCTCTCTCTCTCTCTCTCTCTCTCTCTCTAGGGATATGAAGGATCGCTGATCAAATTAACATCAAAACAGGTAACGCCTCTCCTTACCTCCTGTTCTGGCAGTTATTCAGTGCAGCTTAAATCGAGGGCCAGTTGACCTAATAAGGGAAGGAGTAGGGGAATCTTCTGCTGGATTATAACAGATGCTTCTGTTAAGCAATCTAGAACACCTGTCCAAAGGCTGTCCAACTAGGGTATTGTTTCCCAGCCTTGGCAACCTCCAGATATGTGGACTTCAACTTCCAGAATTCTCATCAATGGCTGTGCTGGCTGTGGAATTCTGGGAGTTGAAGTCTACACATCTGGAAATTGCCATGTTTGGGAAACAGCATCCTAGATCATCCCCTCTGCAATGAGAGAGCCATCCTTAGAGATGTGTTTGGGTCCTAGAAGAAAGGTTGTTCTACTTGCTAACAAAATACTCCATCTACCAGAGCTTCTGTTTTGGCACCAGATTTGGTGAAGGCCCTTTAGCATTGTTCTAGAACAGGCTTGGCCAACTCAGTGCCCCCCAGATGTGTTCTTCCATTCCAATAATACTCATCTGTTCTGGAGGACCCTGGGCTGGGAAAGGCTGGCCCTGCCAATGATACTGCTTAATCCTTAGCCAGATAGGCCCAAAGCTTGAACGTCTGTTTCTCCTGGTTGGGGAAAAGTAACAATGCATGGAGTGGTTGCTATAAGGAATAGCATGTGGCTGGAATGGAAACAAGGTGGAGATGAAGAAGTATGAAGAAGGGGCTCCAGATTTTTCAGGAGGCTGCCTATTTGACAGCTTCTCCAGAGATGAATGAATAAGTACTCTGTAGATGTACTCTTAGTGGGGCACATAGGGGATCTTTTCCCCCTACCCTTTGAGTTCTGTGTCTGCAATCTGGTCAGGAATATGTACGCGCATGTAGCTTAAAGTATTTGTCTTTCCAGCCGGTAGGCTTTGTTACTTTCGACAGCCGTTCTGGTGCAGAAGCTGCAAAGAATGCCTTGAATGTGAGTATTGACACTCTTGTTGCACTGGTGCTCGCAAAACTTCAGAACTTCGTTCATCACTTGGCTCAGAGTGCTATGGCCCCAGTTCAGTGCAGATGGCAGAGCGACCAGATGCTTTCTGCTCATGTCTTAGTTCCCCTGACAGATAGGAGAGATCTTCCTTTCCTGCTACTTAATGGACTGTGTGTCATAAACCCAGGGCAATAGAACGGATAAGGACCAACTGGGCACAGCCACCCCCAGGGACTAGCAGTGTCAGCTGGGAGCAAATGGGAAGGTTGTCCTAAATCTTTTCATTTACTCCTAAACTAAAAAGATGGCAAAGCAGTGTTCCGGATGATTTCAATAAGTCAGCCTCCATTACAGGAAAATTAAGACGCGCTTAAGATAGCATGGAATTTTTTACAGCAGTGATGATAAATCACCTCTGAGATTGTATATGCAGTCAAACACACGGCAGCTTTTCACTTGAGTATCATAAATTAAACTGAAAGTCGAGGGGAGGTGCATTCTGAACTGCCCCGTAGCTGGAAGGCAAGGTGATTTCTCCAGGAGCATATCTGTGTCCCTAAAATGAAATCAGACAATGCAGGGGGTGGGGTGAGACCCATATTACTGAAATAATTTGGACACAGCAGGCATATCCAAGTGATGTCCCTGAGTGGTTTGGGTCTGAATCTTTGCTTTTTGGGGAGAGGGGGGGCTAGGTGGATTTTAAAGCACAGAATAGAGCCTTAATAGATGTTTAAGCCGAAAAAAGTGGAAAAAATGAATTCTGAGCAATTCTAAGAAATGCACATTTTCATCCATGCTTCAGGTTCCAAGCATGATGCTGGCTTTTTAAAAAATAATTGCTTGTACACTTATTCATTCAATCATTCACCTATATGTTTAGTTTTGGTTTTTTTTTTTAAAGAGTTACATGAGGTGGAATTTCTTTCAGGGACTGAAGAGAATGGGTGGACATGCTGTCCAATACAACTTTAGGAAGCAGACGGGTAGCTTAAATCAAGTTTGGGTCTTCAGTAGATGGGGTATCTTTGCACATTTACCTGCATCCCAGACTTCAGCCGATCTGTTTCTGGATGAGTTAATGCAACTTCTTTCTACTCTGGTAACCCTCCTCTTCTGTCCTTCTGCTGCAGGGGATCCGCTTTGACCCAGAGAATCCCCAGACGCTGCGGTTAGAGTTTGCTAAGGCTAACACCAAGATGGCAAAGAGCAAGCTGATGGCCACACCAAACCCCACCAACCTCCACCCTGCCCTAGGCGCACACTTCATTGCACGAGACCCTTGTGAGGAGTTAGGAGGGAAAGTTAATAAGGAAGAAGGGGGGTTGGGGTTGGGTGTTCCTGGGAAAGCATGTCTCTGAAAGGCATGTGAGAGTATCAGTGTGCATATTCCTAGGGTCTTCCACTGTGACGTTTTTGAATTACTTTTTCACATGCATGCAACAACCCTAAATTCAGTTTCCGTATTTGGTGCAAGTGGGATGGAAGAGGAATCTGTAGAGGAATCTGAGTCCTTGGGTTACATGCGCTTCCCCAGTCCCTAGGATGTGGCTACTGGAGTCCTCTTGGAACACAGTGAAATCTGTGATAGGGTAGTGTCAGCCCTAAAACAGGCTTAAGATTCAAACACAAAGGAAGCTCTGCAAAGCATGCCCAAGCTGGCCATACCCCCTTGGCATCCTCGTGCTGTCTAGGGGGAGAGCCTCTTAAAGAACGTTGAGCAACAGAGGAACAGGCTGTCTCCTGATGTGGTGAGATCTCAAAATTAGATTGTGAGGTTTTTAGGAACAGGGTGGTTGAACAGCATCTTCTTGAACTGGACTATTCTTACAGGGTGGTCACAAGCACAGCTTGATGGGAGACCCTTCTTGCAGAATTGGGGTGGGGATGTTAGCCTGGGTTTGGGATGAGTTGTTGCACATGTCTGCATGAATCACTTAATCTCTTGTTCCTCTCCATCAGTTAGAGCGCGTGCAGACAACCTCTAGCTCCCAGCGCTTTTCCAAATTTCACCCAATGCTAATTATCGTCCTGCCCAAACAAAGTCAGTATTTTTGGTTTCACCCATCCTGTGACATCACCAGCTAAACTTCCCGTAGCTCTCAAAAACCAAGATAGCCCTTCAAAAATGTTGTGCCCAGGCTCAAGAAATGTCTCACCCAACCTTGCAGTTGCCCTTACCATATCTGTCCTGTCATGCTTCTCCCCCATGTGCAATAGGATGTTTCCTTCTTGCCTCCTTCCCACATGGGAGGATTGCTGACCTGCCGTTGCTTCTCCACTTCTAGATGATCTGACTGGAGCTGCGCTGATTCCAGCATCTCCAGAGGCATGGGCTCCCTACCCCCTCTACACCACAGAGCTAACCCCTGCCATTCCACATGCTGCGTTCACGTATCCAGCTGCCGCCGCCGCCGCTGCTGCCCTTCACGCTCAGGTGAGCTCCCAATTGAACATTTCCCCTTTTTGCATTAAGCCCCCTCTTGCAAGGGACAAAGCATCTATGCTTCAAAACGACTTCACGCAGAGTTTTCTTCCCAGGCTGGAGAATTTCAGCGAGTGGGTGGAGAGTTGATTGCCCAAGAGACCCCTCCCCTGTTATACCAAAATAGCATGCATCTTCATGCAGAAAGCTTCTGTCCTCCAGGCCTGTCTTGAATCTGAGAAAAACACTGGGCTGTAATCCCCCTCTGCTTCTCAAGCTGGTTGGTTAGAAGAAGCTAGCTAAGGAAACTTCTAAGCACTAAAGGAAAACTCTGTTTGGCTCAAATTTTGGTTCAGAATGAGCTGCCCTACTCTAGCAGGATGGAGGGCTTGAATCTGCCTCTCGAGGAACAAAAGTGAACTTCTTTCAACTTCTCATATTGTTCCAGGATGAGTATTTTGATCCCGTTCCAAATAGCAGTTGAGGGGAAAGGGGATGTCTGTTTACCTCTTTGTGGGGCTGTGAAAAGAACTGACCTTCTAAAGTTCAAAGGAAGAGAAGTCAGGAAGGTGACCCACAGTCAGAGATATGGATAGGACTGGGACGTGCATGTTCCATTACTGGACGCTGTCCGATACAAGGAGCTCCCTGCTAAGAACAAGAGCTCTTTCAATCTGGCGAAGAATGGCATGAAGTCAGTTGAACTTCTTCCCTTCGAAAGCCATTAAACTACTGTTAATCTTGGTTCTGCTGCCAATACAAGAAGGTCTGTTCTTGTATTGTCTCCCCTGGTGACCCCTTTCTCCTCCAAAAGGGAAATTAAGGATGCATTGCTATACAGAAGTTTGAAGGAAGGAAGAAAATAGTTTAGCATGGTGAGCAAGCAGTAAGAATGTATACAAACAAGAGAAAATAGATAAAATACACGAAGTCCAAAGGGAGAATAAATAGCTGCTTATACAGATTATAGGTTTTTTTTCTCTCTCTCTCAGATTCCATCGAGTCAGAATTATCCCATAAGGGGAATCTTATTAAATCCACATTCATTTCCTTATTGAAATCATTTTTATTAGAAGCTTCACCTCCAAAAGGCTCCCTAACCAACGTGTGGGTGTATGCACAAGTACATGGATGCAATTAAAAATATCCCTTGTTTTAGGCTTACAGTCTAAAAGAAAACATAGGAAAAAAATGGGGAAGGACCTTTATTAAAAAAAAATAGTTCAACTTATTCAAAAGGGTTAGGGGAATGATCTTGTTTCAGTTCCCTTTATAGAGGATTGCTGGACAAGCGTCATTTCTGGCAAGTCCCTCCATGTTCGCTTTTCTGTGCTTACATCTCCCTAGCCCGTTGTTTAGAGAATGCAGAACACTCCTACACAAATAATGCACGGTTTATAGTGTCTCTTGGCTAAATATATTGGTTGCAAAGGATTTGCTGTGCAGACCGAGCGTGCAAAATTTAAGGATTTGGGCTTAGAATAGTCTATGCCAATTAGGCAGTTGGCAGGGACTGTGTTTCTTGCTCTTGTAATTGGGGGAGCTTGGAACAGAGGTGTGTGATTATTCCTGCTCCCCACTTGGAAAGAAGGTTCTTCAGGTTGAACTCTGCAGGTTTGCCCTTTAAAGCAAATGAATGCGTTACTCATAAAAGTCTTCGAGTTAAACATTACTTCACTCTCCTTACTAAGCAACTGGCAGCTCAGGGCTCCACCCACTACACAGGCTGAAATTCTGGCATCTGAATGAAATAATGGAAGAATTGTGTTCTTGATTTTTCGACAGGAGCATAACGGGGGCTGTTTGCTTAACCCCTCTGCCTACATGTTTAATGTAATCAATTGAGGTGTTCTGCTTCATTGCTGCCTGGTACAGTGAACGTGGATGCTATTCCTGGGTCAGTCTCCAAGGAAATGAAATGGAAAACCCTTGGGTGCAAACTCTTGGTCTTCCAGTTCCTTGAAGATCCAAAATGATGCTTTATGGGGATCACAGTCCTATGACTTGTCCTAGCTGTCATGTCTAGGTGCACTGGCACCCTGATCTTTGAATTATTGTATATTTTTTAATTGATCCATGGCAAACCTTAACCAACCTGTGGCTAAACTACCTCACTAAGCTATTATTTGTTTTAACCATTGTCTGAAGAAGCTTGGTGACTACCTTCACAGATACTATCAACTCAGAACAAGCTATGCTATGGCTCAGTACAGTGTATGAATCAGCCAGTGAATGGGTTGCACATTGTTACATAATGGGCTAATCTTCCCTGGCCTGGTAGCCTCCAGATGTTTGGGGTGTTAACACACTGGCTAAGGATGATGAGAATTGAAGTGCAGTGCATCTGAAGGGCAACAGGTTGGTGAAGAGCAAGAATCTTCAAAGGATGTTCCGCTGATTAGACCATCTGCAGTACTGGTGTTTTCCTCTACTAAAAATAAATCCCCTAGTTTCAATGAGCTCAGAAGTGGCCAAGCAAGGAAGGTTCACAGGTCCCTAAAGAAGAAGAGCTCCAGGGATGGAGTCTCCTTGACTTTTGTTCTAAGGAACTACGGAAACTGAAGCTCATAACCGTTGTTGCCTGTCAGGGCTGGTTTCCTACCCCCGGTCTTACCCAAGAAATGTTCTGCAGCACAGCCTGCTTGTCACGTTCAGTGGCATCTACTCATGAAACAAGCCTCTTGCCCCCCGCCCAAGGGGCTCCCACAGTGGCCAGCTCTTGGTTGAAATGACCCCTCCTTTGATGTCTTCAGTGACCTACAGCCAGGATGCCTACGCAGGCTAGCCCTGAAGCTCAGAGCTGGCCCTGGAAAGGTGGGACCTCATAGTCCTGACTAACCCCTGCTAGAGTGGAGTAGCTGTAGAACAGCTTCATTCCTAGAGGCCTTTCAGGATGGGCCCGTCTGGAAAAGGCTGGTAAGACAAAAACATCTCTCTGCCATTTGGGGCACAGTGGGTTGTTTTGTTCTCTTTTTCTTTACTTTCCGCAAGCTTTATCCTTTTTTGTTTTGTTTTATTTTGCCCATCTGTTCCTTAGCAACCCAATGCATGGGCCTCCACGCTATTCACCCACCCAAAGCCCAGGCAAAATGAAAACCAGGCATTTCTCTAACCCACCTCTGGCCAACTTGGCGCATATGATATGGGCACCACAGCATGGCACTTCTTGTGTTCAGAGGGCTCCCCCATGGAGCACCAATGGGATTATCCTACCTGGGGGAGGAAAGGAACCACCAATGAAGGTTTCCTGTCACATGGTGGTGTCAGGGGGGTGGGAGTGCCTCCCTACCACCTTGTTTCACTCACCACACTCACCTGCTGGGGCGGGGGGTGGTGTAGAAGTAGCAGCAGTAGCAACAGCACACATGAATTTAATTTTTCCACACAGTCAACTGGCACATATCAGTCACGCTACAGACTCCGCCAGGGGAAGGGAGAATCCCTTTCTCTGCTGGAATCTGGTAAATCTCCTCTCACACTTTCCCCCTCCCTTTCTTTCTTTCTCCCCTCCTTCCAAATGAGTAAAATTCTGACTTTGACACAATACAGGAAAAGGAAATGTAAACAATCTGGTGCTACGTGTATATTAAGGAGCAGTAGAAGAAGAAATTATTGGAACGGGCTAGCAGTGACAATGTTAAAATAAAAGAGCTCCCTGACTGAGCAGCAGAATTTTACGTCGGTAGTGAAAACGGCAAAAGTCAGCCTTAAGGAGAGGCATTCTCTCTTGCTGAGAGGGGAATGCCTCTTCTAAGGCGTGGCTGGAAATGGGTGTCTAAAGCAAGATGCCCTTTGCTTTAGAACCGTTTACTTGTGTGCAGAGGTAAGAAATGGATTGAAAAGCATTGCATGGTGGGCTGAATTACTGGATGTGTTCAAAAGGAGTTGGGGAGAAGCTTTGCTGAAAGAAGCAGGCCGGTACCATGGCAGCTGCTTGAGGGGCACCTGTGCTCCCGGGTGCTTCCTTGGAATGCCACCCGGAGGAGGCAGGGCGTGTTTCTAGCCTTAAACAACAGCACACCGGTTGGCAAGGACAGCTTCCTGTCTCATTCAGCTGCTGAAGCAGAATGGCCAAAACTGATTCCAGATGTGCGGGGGAGATGGCTTTAGGAATCTGGGAAGTGCTTTCCAGCTACAGCTGGAAGGAGGGAGGCGAAAAGCAAATCTGGAACCGTAACACATTGGTGACTATCAGATGGAGAAGTGAATGCCCCCCGGCTTGTGGAGTTAGTTGATGATTGGAAAAAGACTGGCAAATATGTGAGAAATGATACAAACCGATTATAATGAAAGTCCCTGGAACTCTGAACAACGAGGTGCTTCTCAGAATCCAAAGTGGGAATGTTTTTAAGTGCTGATCACAAACTGATTAATGACACCTCCTTTCTCTAGAAAAACTAGAACTGTGGGTGGCTACGGTCTTCCTGACAGTTGTATATGAGGTTATAAAGTTCCTATACGTGTTGCATGCTCAAACAGAAGTTCGTTTAGGGTTGTATTATGTTTTAACAAATATGAAGAGCGTTTAAAAAACAAGCTGAGGTTGCCATTTCCCTAAAGCCCAGTTAACGCTAACCACAATGTTCCCTTCTAATGATGTAAGAATTTAGTTAAAAATGGAAGGAAATGTGATGCAGTTCACAATGGTCATAGTTCCCACGCGCTGCAGAGTAGACTGAGATATTGGAATAATGTCCTTGTCCTAATTATTGATGATACTGTTGTGCTTTTTTTTCTCCCTTGGAGTGGATTGGTTGGAATCTAGTCCCTCTTTTAACCTATGGTTCTAGATAATCCTGATAACAGAAAGGTATCGTTTTACTTGGGGGGGGGGAATCAAAGCTTCTGATCAGCACTTTGTAGCTTATTTGCAAAATAAGGACAGGAGCACACTTAGGAACATGCACTCCGAAACCTTAAAGATCTTTCATACAGAAGCCTTGTTCTCTGCTATCCATTCGATTGAAAGGGTTTATGTTCCAGGAAGATAGACTTTGGTTGAACTTTAGGAGAAACTTCTACACAATGGGAGCAGGTCAACGATGGGACCAGTTGCTTGGAAACTGATGGGTTGGCCTTCCTTGGAGCTCTTTGAACAAAGTCCAGACAGCCGTTGGGGATGCTTTGATCTTCCCGTAGGAAGCAGAGCATTCAGAGAAGCAGCCTGCAAGGACCCTGCAGCTGTAGGACTGAGCTGGGGCATTGTGCTGTTGAGCAAACCACGTTGGCTGGGCTTGCTCAGAGAGCTGAAGAAAGCTGGAGTGTTGTCATGGCGGACTGCAATGTGCGAGCCCCTTCTGGGATTTAGGACCACATCTATAGTATCCAGACCCATAGTAAATATTCATTTTTAAAAAATGCTAGGTTGAGTTCGTATCCCTCTCGGCATAGTCTTTCATTGGGACTCCTGTCCCTCTCGCCTCCTACCCTCCCCCACATCCAGACACTTCCTTCCTCCTGAAAGATTTCAGCTGGCCTAAGTATGAGATCAGCCCTGAACAAAATACCAACCAAACCAAGTTTGTTCATTTGTTACAGGCTTAGATGCCACTTCAATCAGACCAACTCTGAGTGGCATACACATTCCCCAATACAGCAATTACGTTAAAAACCACAATGTAAAAACTCTAAGCAGTCTCCACTGCCATGGCATCACTTCCTCAGGGTTCCTCCAGCATTTCACCTCCAAAGGCCCTCTGGAACAGCCTGGTCTTAATGGTCTGTCCCCTTCTTGCTGGGGACAGGCTGCTCCAGAGGAAGGGGGCCACCACCAAGAAGGCTGCAGCATCCCTGAAGAAGACCCTCCCTAGGGATCAGGGCCCACAGCAAACCCTCTCTTCTAGATCACCCTAGAAGGTCAGATTCCACTCCCCTTTTAGCTTGTTCCAACTCTGTACTTTCCCAGCATTTTACAAATGTAAATTGGGATATTCAGATATGTTAAATTGACTCCCACCCTAAGAATCACTACCTGAGCAAGGAATGTTTTTTGGGGGTTTTTTTGCACCCTTGTTCCTGGTGCAGGTTGTGTCAGTAAACTGCAGCAATTATAGGCATTCTATTAAACGTCTTAATTCCCCCCACCCCAAATGTCCATAAATCTCCCAAAAACGCAAAGGCTATCAGCCATATGATTATGAACTGATAATTATGGGATATGGGGGGGGAAGGTAAAATAAAAAAGAGCATTTACTAGCAAAGAAGGACATCTGTTAAATAGGGATGTTTGAAGGATGTTCACTCAAGGAAAAATAACTCTGAAAAAAATAATGGCAAAATTGTGATATGCCGCAGCAAAGAGCTAGGAAAAAAAGGAGATTCAAGGATATGATAAGACAGGAGGTTGCTGTTTTTTTAATCACCTTTCCTTTATGTCTCAAAACAGGCTTTTCCTTAGGACTGAGGGACATGGAAGTAGCAAACCAACCAAATCACATTCACTGGCTCCTGCTTAAGGACCACTTAAAAAACTAAAACCTTGTATGGTCCTCTAGTGACCCTGCTGCATTTGTTTTTAACTACTTAGCTCTTCCTTTCACAAAGGTTTGCCTCTTTAGTGCAGGACTCAATGTGTTTTCCTACAAATGTGCTTATGAACAATGGGTGGGATTTAGGCCTTCAACTTAGTGGATGCAGAGAAAGAGATGGCAAGCAACGTGGTTGAATAGCCTATATGTGGAATAATAGGGGGTGGTAGAGTATGAATTGGATATAATAAGGGGAGTAGGGAGTGGAACTCTATAGAGGGCCTTGAGTGACCGTTGATGACACAGTATGATACAGCTGCCATGTCTTCAACTTTGGAGCCACTTCAAAGGTGACTTCAAGGCATTCAAAGCTGTCTCCATATAGCCATTCTAGCATTTGAGATGTGAAGAAATTCAGTGTATGGTTAGGGACAAGGAGAACCTCTGCAATCCCAAAGAACTACGGGTTACTAGAAAAGCTATATAAACAGTGTTGATAGTTCTTTTCTGGAGGATCTTGAGCACCATTGAGCAATGGGGACAAATGTATCCTAGGCAGAGTGTTTCTGCCTGCTCTTGGTTCACCATCTTACTCCTCCCATATCACCCCTTATCATTCTCTTCTAGATGCGCTGGTACCCTCCTTCTGATGCTACCCAGCAAGGATGGAAGTCCCGTCAGTTCTGTTAGTTTTAGTGAGTATTGGGTTGCAATGCATATGGAAGTTCTGGGCGTGGTTGGAGAAGATGTTATCTTCTATAGCAGGGTTTTTTTCAGCCAGGGAGAAGTGAGGAGATAGTGCTGTCTGGCTAGACAAGGGCCTGGGAAGCTGAGAGTAGATGCTCTCCTCCATGTGTGATAGTGGGACTATGATGAGAGATGTATGGAGTTAGCCTTCATAATGTGTTCTGTTGCTTTTTCCAAGAGCTGCTTCTTGGCCCACATTTTCCCCTCCTGTCTCTCCATGAAGTAATGCATGAAGGATGAAGGAGTCTCTGGGAACCTTCTCTCTCGGCCTTTTCTGTGGACACCGTCAAAGTGCCCGACTCCAGTAACTTGGCCCTGTTATGAATGAAGCTGTGGATTTCCCCCTCCAAAACTGTGAACGTGATCTCCTCCATCTCTTCCCCAGTGTCATGGCTGCGTTCTCCTGTTTCCCTGACTTCCCCCCCAAATCTGCTAAGCCCCACCACTCTCCCATTGCTGAGTTTCTCCTCCTGCTATACTGAGTCCTTTCAGGAGAAACCCAACCTTGTTGATAGACCCCTTTGGTGTGGGCGTGTGTGTATGTGTGTTCCCAGCTGGGATGCTGGCACTAAACGTGGCCTAGCTGTGTACAGTGCAATATCCAGACTTTTCTTATCCTGAGCGTTGTTTATGCAGTTCTGCTGAAGGAAGCAAAAGACAATCGGTTTTGCATGTTTTCTGGCATGAATTTAAAACACTTTAACTTGGTGGGTGTGTGAGTGTGCAAAACTTGTTTTTGGTCTAGCATTTGTGTAACCATAGCAGTAGATCTTGGACTAACTATCGATCACTAAACTTTTTCTTGCTTCTCTCAAGACTTGGCTTCTGAAAAACACTATTTACTTTTTCCCCCCTCTCTTCTCTTCTTCCTCTTCCCTCTCGCCTAGGGTTTCTTTCCCATGTTCAGCCTTGACTAGAATTTGAAATAAAAAAGTTTCTTCTCAAAAGTACAGTACACTGGGTTTCTGGTCCATTTTGCCCTTCCCCAGTTTAAGTCAGGGTTGTTTTTATGTTATTGTTTTTCTGTCAGACTTCTATATATAGAACAGCTGTAAAATATTTAACCTTTTTTCCCACATCCCTCTGATTGGAGAGAATCCAGTCTTGCCAACTCAGCAATCCTTATGGGAATACCGAACAAAGATGTACGAGTATTTTTGTACCATGTGTAATAAGGAAATATTTATGCATCATAAAAAGATTTTGTGTGGTTTTTGTGCAATTAATTATTAAAGAGAAAAATAACTGTAATCTGTAAGATAAGTTTAATGTTTAGTTAAAAGCTTGAAGAGAAAGACTTTTTTTCTGTAACTGATTCAGTCAGGCATAGTAACAAGAAATTGCACAATTTTTTTTTGTTGATATTTTATTGCTTGGTATTTGGAAGTCCTTTAAGTATTATATTGAACCATGGCTGTCTCGCTTGTATTAAGATTGTTGAATAAGTTGCTATATCCTTTGAGAATGTGAAACTGGATAATATATGAATTGTACTCAGTGGTGTGTGATTCTTTGCTGCCTGGAATTTTTGTACATTATTCGTTCTTTGCTCACAGAGTTCGCCAGTTAATTTTACCTGGAAAAATGAAATGGGGGAGAGGGCTGCGTTTATCTACAGGTGAACATGCATCTTCACCTTTCCTTAAGGCTCACTCTCTTGGAGATTATAAATCTGTATATAAGACAATGCCACCAAAGAGGAGAATGCAAATGCTCAGGACTTTTGGAAAAATGTTGACATGGAGTGAAGGTAGTGTGAGCATCTTTCTTCCAGGTCCTCAAGGCTGCTCACATGGAACTCCCTTCATTTTATCTCCACAACAGTGATGAGCAGGGATGCCTGGAGGTTGGGCGGTTTTTTTTTTTTAAAAAAATTCAAGATGATGACCGTGGCTGCGTGAACTGCCCCACTCTTTTTCTACACAGGGCTTCGATCACACAGCCACAGCAACTGTCTTGACCTGCCTGAGAAGTAGATTAGGCTGAGAGACAGTGATTGGCCCAAGATCACCCAGCTAATGGTGGACCTGAATGTGGGTTTCCCTACTCCTGCCTTAACCACTACACCACACTGGTTTTAAAGACCTACCTAAAACCTCGAGGAAAGAAGAGATGCAGTGAGATGCATTTACTGGTAAAATTAGGAAATAAATTACTAGAATAGTAACTCTCCCTCAAAAAGTATATAATCAAGTTTCAGGTAGGTGGCTTCCACAAAAGAATAACTGGACATACCACACCCCAAAGTAATCTTCATACTGGAGATGCATCTTTCTTGGCCTCCCAGCCAGAATCTCTAGATGTTGAAATGGATAATGACATCAAGGTGCAACCAAGAAGAGGTTTTGTGACGTTGATTTCAGCTGCAAATTGGGTAAATGCCATTCTATTTATGACCGTTAGTCATAAAGGACAACCGGAATTAGAAATGGTTACTGTGCTGTTAAATTCAACATAAAGTGAATTGCCACGAAGGCCAACACACTTATTTCAAAAACAAACTTCTGAATGAGGACCAGCTAACTGTAAACAAAAAATCACAAGGGTCAAATCACTCCAGAACATGGGGTGATTCTTAAAAACAGCTACAGTAGATGCTCAGCCAGGTGGTATATTACAGACTGGAGGGGTGGGGGCTGAAACTATGAACAGGCCAGCATAATTTACTGGCAGAGTCAAGGAAGCTACCAAAAGCAAGGGAAATTTTCTGCAGAAAATTGATAGCATATTCAAACGAAGTGAACAAAGCATTAACTTTCTAGAATGAGCAAGCAGATAAAAGATATGCAAAAATCATCTGACAGTTAAATATATTACTAATCTAAAGCATAAAACCAAGATGTTTATGCTATTAGAAAACAAGTTCAGGGTGTCAAATGGTAATCATGTTGGAAGAGGAAAAGCTGAATTATTGCCTTCGCTGTGTAGATGCAAACAGGTGATGTGCATAAGACTCAGAACCTAATTGTTGCTGTTATCACGAAAATGAACAAATTCAGTGTGTTGGGATTTGTCCATCTGAAAGTGTTTAAAAGTTCAGATATACAATATATCGCTTAAATATCTAATCTACAAGTTGCCCCTAAGATGAGCCGTTATGCTAATACATTGGTGTTATCTTGGCAGCTTTCCCATTTTAAATTAAGGAACCCAGTAAGCTACATGCTTTTTACTTTAATATCTATTCCTACCAAATTAAAAACAAAATTCAAATATCAAGCAAAGAAAAACAAGTCTCCACTAGGCAAAGGTAAGTCCTATCTTTAGCCCTTTCTCTGAAGTTCACATACTTCAATGGGGGTGTGTTAATCAGCCTAGTATACTTGGATATTGAAAAAACTTTTCACAAACTCTCATCAGAGGCTCTTAAGTTCTGCAAACAAACATCGGTGTACCTAAGACTAACCAACAAAATGTAGAACTCCGTAAGATACGGCTTAATGTCATGGATGAACCTTTTCTGTTTTTGCCCTGGGATGTTGTCATTTGACCATCCTATTTTTCTCCTGCTTAGTATGATTGGAGTAAAAAAAGGCAGCCTGTCTCCTTGTTTCCAGAATATTTTGCCCTGATATAGATTGCCTTTCCTCTTTGTCTGCTGGGACTTGAACTGTATGGAGGCACCTGCTCTATTAAGCAGGCAAGTTTGACTGTAGTCATCCAAAGCTAGCAATGTTTGATGAATAAATGATAACTTTTAGTCAAGTTGAAACAATTGCTCAGCCAACCGGCATATTCATGACTGCAAAGGAAGCTGCTTTGTTGCTGCAGTCAAGGCACTTCCTAGCAGTGGGATGTGGTGAATGAAGAGGTGGTGTATGGTACAATTGGGAAGTTTGCAATAAATGGCAAAGGAAATCATAACAAAAATTACCTCCATAATCATTTTGATTCTTGTCCATTTACAATCCAATAAAAGATCAATAACGTGAATTCAATAAAAATAGTGAAGAAGAAGAATCCAGATAGAACCCTGGTGTCAACCTTGACTTAGTGGTAGCCACAATTAAGTGCCGAAAAACCCTGCAAAAGAGCTGTCTTCACAACCTTATGGAAAGGTTCTAAGATGGATGGTCATGTACCTCCCATTGACTTTTCAAGCGCCCCTCTCCCCTTCAGCTTGAACTGGGCTGTTTATGCTTTTATAGTTCATGCTATTTTTATTTGTCATAGCTGTATTTCCACATGATAAACCACAAGTAAGGGTTAACTTGAGTTTTTATGTCACCTTGCCCTGACTGTGTTAACCCGTCAGAGCTGGAGGCTAGCCTGGAGGCTGTCACTGGAACATGGAGTGGTTTCCCCAAGTTCCAAATGAAGAAGGTCCCCCCAGATCTAAACTGGCAACTACTCCAGATGAAATGCTAAGCCTTGGATGAGCCTCCTTATGTACCTGCTAGAGCCATGCAGGACAGAGGCTATTCTCATTAACCTATTCCTGTAACTTGGCATGTTGTGGGAACAAAGGACTGTAAGCATACTTTATGAGTAAGCCTGTGGCACTAAATCAACTATTTGAAGTGGTGGCCCCCACCTGCTTCTCTTAGTATTTTTGAGTGTTGACCCCTCCCCCCAAGACCGAAAACAAGAGAGAAGATAGAGCGAAGCCCTGTTCTAAAGGCAGTAGCTGGAACCAAAAGTTTGAGCTATCTTTAAAAAACAGACTATTTCCTGGAAAGAAGATACCCAAGCTCTATATACCAACAAAAAGGAACTGCTTCCCTATCTTGCCATTCTAGGGTTTTATGACCTTGAAGAGGGGTTGGAAGCAGAAGAAATCCTCATGGGCTGACAGCAGCTTTTAACTTTTACCCAGTGGGTCTGAAGCATTTCTGGTCAGAGTGGCTGAGTCATGCGCAACATGCTAACGAAATCCAACCAAACTCCATGATAGTTTAGTGCGATGAGCCAAAGGATGTGCAGAAGTAGAAACAAACATTAAAAAACTAGCAATACAACAACAAAGGTTCCAGATGTTCCACCATTGCTGTAAAATAAGAGAGACTGAAGAAGTCAGTTCAACTTTGGGTTTCTTTTCCTGAGGGATGTTTTCATATATTCTGTCCTAAGTATATTATTGGTCTGTTTTGCTTATTGATATCTACGCTAATTAACAAGCAGGTTTCTTCTGCCTGAGAATATTTTTCCAGTCCTTTGCTAAACAGGCAGGACTGAATCTGGGTGTTCTGACAATCCCCTTGTAAGTTTCAATCCTTTCCTACATAGGAGGCAACCTACTATCTGGTAAAAACGATTGGCCCACCTTGCCTCACAGTCCGTTTTAGATGACTTATTGCTTGTTATCTAATCATCTTAACTGGAAGACCTTTTTGTATGCAAAGCCTGAGTTTTGCTATTAAGCTCTCGTTTCTTCTCTTTAGAACAGTGTTTCTCAACCTTGGCGGCTTTAGGATGTGTGGACTTCAACTCCCAGCTGGCTGGCTGGGGAATTCTGGGAGTTGAAGTCCACACATTCTAAAGCCGCCAAGGTTGAGAAACACTGCTTTAGAACATCTCCTTCCTGCTACCATCTCACCATCTTTCAGTGCCTGAGATCATTCTGTTTCTTCATCGGTCCCGGTTTAGTCTCTACATTGATTTTGGCTGAACCATTCCCACTTTGCCTGTCTTGTCAAACCAACCATGTTCCTCAGTTCTGCTCACCTAGGCATAAATGGCCCCTGGAGAGCACTAGAGGCAAGTGTGGGACCACCATGCTCTTTGAATTATAGAGGAGATTCTTTTAATCGTGCATTAACACGGGCTGAACATAAATAATTCAGCCCCCCTGTGCTTGCATAGAGTTCTTGCATATGTGTTGGGCATACAGATCCCTCATCATCAAAGTAGGTCATAGCAGCACTAGCTGTCCTAGAAAATATGCACATTTCCCTCTGAAGTTATAACCAGGTGCACATACAACTGGCTAAAAAAACCGAGACCATATCCTAAATTTGGATAGTATAACCAGGTTCATATAAGACAAGAGTAGCTAGATTGGACAATGTATAATACTGAAATATAAACTGTTGGCCAGAACCTGCTACTCTCCAGATGTTGTCTTGCAACTTGTGGTGTTCCCTACCATTATTCATGCTGGAACTGCGGTTTAGCATCAGACAGGTACGGATTCCTCATTAGTATGCTATATTTTAGCTCTGGTTATGTCTAAAAGAATAGGCAGTGTAAGTGAAAGCTAGAATTTTCCTCTTTGGTTTCACCAAGCCATGGTTTACTTAAGTAGACCACAGAAGGCTGGAGTAACACAACAACACTGAACCAAAATCAGACAAAACACTTAAGGGCTTTGTGTGGTGCACGAACCAGGTCTATGTGATGCTAGGCTACAATTGCTAACCGGCTTAATGGAAGGTAACTCACTTCCAGCCTCAGAAAAAGTCCCCAAAATGTGGTCTGCTGTGTCCTCTTAATCCATTACTCACGATCAAACTTTGCTTCACCTCCAAAGCAAAACAGTAAACCTTTCAACACTGACT